CAGATATTAGCTGTCGATCGCGACTCCGTCCACGCGGTATAGAAAACAATCACAATAGCCTATGTGTTCTTCCAGACTATGTTCTATATGCCTGACAAATTTCATGGAAATCCGTTTAGTGGTTCTGGAGATACATTCAAACAAACATCCCTATGTCCACTAAACATTTGCATTTATAACATTAGTAAGATAAGATGTGAAAGAGGATATGTGTATGAAGGGTATAGATTCGGATAAGACGGCTGATAGAGATGTATGGATGAGTAGTACATACTGTGCCGACCCTCCATAGAGATAAGGGCAGGTTGATGATAGATATTAGTAAAATTTGGTCGCCTTTAAACTTAGTGAGATTTGTTGGTTTATGAAGTTTAGGGTTTTGTTTAAAACAAATGTTTTGTTTAAATGGAAGTACTCCTGGTTTGGAGTATATACCTTTTTAGTATTATTTATTATTTTTTCACATGTCTTGCTAATATGTTGCTTACATACTGTAATTGTCTCCAACGCTTTACAAAACACGCTGTACAGCGTGATGGGTCAAGAAGATTCCCTGCGTGTGACTATTAGACCTCTATTGTTAAAAATAATGAGCGACTTCGCTATCGCAGTGATCTTGAAGCGAGACTTGGTCACGAGCTTGCGCCTAAATTTCATTACTCGATAATGATAAAGTATAACCAAAAGATATTTCAAAAAAGATAAGAAAGTTATCTTGTTATTTATCCTATATTTAATTAAAAAAAATAGAACATTTTCGAAAACCAAGTTGCAATTGAGTCTGTCGAAGTGGAACAAACTAAGAAAGAACTTAAGAAAAGAGAAGGAAAAAAAGACAGGTTCAATAGTCGAGTCTGTAATAGTCTATATTAAATTATAATTATTGACAATCATAAGTAAAATTTATCTGAAATGAATTACGTAAGTTCTATTTTCAGTAACATTGTAAAACAGTGCTTTGTGAAACCGATGACACAAGAAAACACACGGCCACAAATCCGTTGAGTTACGGCATCTAATTAAGTCACTTCCCAGGAGATGACACTTAGCTATTGAGGACACACGGATTCACAAAACGTAATGTTGTTTTTTTGTTCAATTGATTCAATTTCACTTTTAACGTGAAATCTAAGCTGTTGTCCAATGGTTCTCATTTTTATTAGTTTTGTTAACGTAATTTTTAAAATCTTATGTAAAAATTAAAATTAAAATTGGTAATACAAAGACAAAGCTGCTATAAATTAAAAGTGTTGCGATAACTTTAATACGAATTGACCTAACCTAATGAACTTTAAGTTTTGGCAGCGTATTCGTTGCGGGATCACGTCTAACTCCTCAAAGACACGGCAGATGAGACGTGCTCTCCGTCACGTGCGGCCTTGGGTTAAAGATTTATTTCAAGTATTGTTATATTTATATACATACTACCTGTCGCACGTGACACTGTTCGCTCGGGAAAAAAAAAAGTAGAATATGTGTTCTTTCAGACTATGTGCTACATCTATGCCAAATTTCAGCAATATTCATTGAGTCGTTCTGGAGACACCTCCAAACAAACATTCGTCTATCCATCTAAACTTGCATTCATAATATTAGTAAGAAGTAAGATTACTATGATCTGTTCTAGAGTGGAAATAGTTAAAAGTTCCTTCTTTTTCAAGTCTAAAGTAGAATTTGTAATACTAATGTTGCAGATGTCTAAGGGCAGCTGTCCCTTAAGTTAATAAATTATACTTCATTTATAGTAAACTTCTTGATACTTGTAATTCATTAGATATCAAAGTATACTAGGACAAGAAAGACACACGTTTGTTTTTGATTAATCATTTTAATTAGAGTGCAATACCCAAGTTGAGTAAACACTAGAACATGTTTGCAGTACTTTTGTGTAACGGGGGCAAAGTTGAGTCGTAACTTGATTCGAGTGTCCCGATTTCTGCGAGCTTGCAATAAATATTATGAATATTACTAAAGATGCCCGACGTGCTCGAAAATCATGACTGAAATAATAAGGATTGTTTAAGTTAAAGACAATGTAACTTATTAAGTTGTATTTGGAAAATGCGGAAATGTATTCGTGCAACATCCAATGTAGAACGTCTAACTAAAATCAAGGATACTGTTCAAGATATATAAGAAGATACAATTTTTGGATCTAGAAAATTCTATATTAAATTCTTTCTAGAGAACACTATAATAATCACAGTAAAGTTTATCAGAAATTAGTCACCAGCAGCGAAGTACTGACACACATATAAATACAGACAAATTCATGACCTTCCTTTAAAGTCTGTTAAAAAACGACATTAACATACAAATTACGATATAACTATGGTGTTAGGAAATCGCAAATGTTATAATCAAAAATCAGCAATAGTCGCAGGCGTGACATAGGACCGCTTTTAATGATATATTTCTGCAAATCTCACGCGGACTCGACTTACACACAGAAATTAACCATGTTGCACACTTAAAGATTGAATATAGCGTGCTATAAAAGTATGTAGCCTATACCAAGAGTGTGACAGAGTATATATACACCCACTAGATAGTCGACGTCTATCTACGTCCTAAAGATTTAGCTAATTAGTTAATGTATAAAGATTTTCTGTTTAGCTTTGTTGCTTCTTTATGCCTAAAACCTCTTTCTATCGGATAATTTAAGTGGTTAAAATTGGGATATAAAATCTATAGATTTTCATCTTAGCCATGAAATACATATTTTATATGTGAATTCAATTTCACAATTCCGTTTATAACGGCTTACCCCTCTTGGTTACCAGTTGGCATGCTATAATCTCATTTATTTGATTGCACGCGAACGTGTTTTGAGAATTTTTATAGCATTATCCTTTAGTGGATATCAATACTAAAAGCTCAAACAAAAGGAAGATGTCGTGCAATATTGATGTGCTACATGGCCTATTATAATGAAATAACACCGACTCACCATTTTATGAACTCTTTTTGAACTCCTCAAGTATCTGCAAAACAGATTCTATTCCTTTGAATTAAGGTTTACTTTATTTAAATGTCGACTAATTAAAGGTAACTGGGTTATCACATTTGAAGATTCACATAAACGCATTTTACGTGAATGTATGGAGTAGTTGTTGAAACTATTGCGAATTGTTACATTAAAAACAGATAAACTAAATTTATAGGCGTAATTTTTTGTATAAAACTACTGGCAAGATAAGTTGGATAAAACATGTCAACTTTGTTATAATCAAAACTTTTCACTCGGATTCAAACTAACAAACGAAGTTAGAAACGCGGCAAATCCAGTAACTTATTACTGGGGTTTGAAAAAGTTTTAGCTCTACTAACTAGACGCGATTTCTACGGAGCTTTTACAGGGTTATATGTAAGACTGTGTAATTCGGCGACCTGTAGCGCCACTTTTTGTCCAGCGCCCTGAACCCCGGTCCCGAACCTGGGTCAACCAACCGCGATTTTCCCTTAAACCAACCTTGGTTGTGGGTAGTTCCGATATTACATGAATTATTATTATTAATGAATGCTACTTTAAAATTTATTCTTAAGGAATAATGACTTTAATCTTCGTTTACAATATTTTGCTATTCAAATATCACTTTATAATCAAAGTTAATAAAATCAAGCACTTTCATTCTTTCGTTACAATAATGCTGTCACAATTGTCATAGATTTTAAATCACAGATTGTAAACCTTTTTATACAGACTGTCTATAATTTGATCACTATCTTTGAGACGGAATTCTAGAGAGCTGAAAGCAACTTTCCGATTCTTCTTTGTCTAGAAATAGCCTAAGGCCTAGAGTGATTATGTTGATTTTTTAAGTTGATTTAAATATATTGTTTGATATGAAAATTAGGCTTTGTTAACTAAAGGTACACTTGTAAAGGAAAGATGCCTATGATTGTGATACATTTGTAATATTAACGAAGTACGAGAAATGCGTATTTTTTCACGAGAGTTCTAGTTTTTTTTATTAAATTAAATTTAAAACACTTAATTAAAAGAATTTTTTTTTCTATAATTAAGTTTTTGCAACCATATAATGTATGCGCGTGGACGTTCATCGGTCGAAATATTGCTCTATTTCCAACTAGAAAATTAAATTTAGATTGTAGGACGATCTAGATATTTTTCAACTCTCAAATAACAGTGATTAAGTGATTATCGACATTTCTCGCAAATCACGAGCAGCCAGCCATAGTATAAGTAATTCAAGTCTTATGACACAAAAAATTTGAAACTAAGGAATATCAAATTCAACATTAATCTTTCTTTTATTAAATTTCACATACATAATTCTGAAGGGAGATGAAAAATAACATCACGTATTAAATGGAAAATGACGTTAATGATTTTCATACGTTATTTTCTTTCTACACAACAAATTCGCAGTTAAAATTGCAATTGTCATTTGTGTCAACACTGTGCATCGAACTCATTGCCTCGTGTTATGAAATTGAAGTCGACTGTTCGGACATCTTTACATTATGCCTCCATTATCTTTTACATATGTCATATGCTTACAATATTCTGATGGCATTTTGAAGTAAGTACTTAAAGAGTTACTAAGTTACGGAATCGAATGATCTTTTCACTACTAGAAGCAATTATTGCCAGAATTAAATTGGCTTATTGATTACTAAGCGAGACCTTTAGTGTAGAGTTATCTTACATAAAGGGCGATCTGTTATCAATTCTGAGGAAAGCAGTTTATTGTTAAGTTCAAGCGATGTGTACTCTCTAGTTCAAGATAAATCATTTTCTTGGATGTTCTGTTCTACCTCAAAATATTTATAAATAAGGCTTGTCATAAATCATTTCTAGTGATGACGACATTTTCTTTTAAAAAGATAGAGACAAGAAACACCAAAAATAATAACATTACTTTTTCTTATTCGATCATGCAATAAGAAATAAGATGTTATTAACAATGTTAAGTAAGTACTCATTTTGTAAGTAAAAATGTATTTTACGCAGGCTCGTTTTTTAGAAATATAATCAAATGACTGTCATTAGAAGGATTATAGCAGCAGCACTATCAAGGCTATTACAATCCAATGTCGACGGATCAGCGAATCTTCAGGTGACCCAGTTTATTTGTGTACGATTTCGAGTGGCACCCCTTACCGCGAAGTGGTGGTTGTTTGGGCAATGCACATAAAATGCCCCGAACGGGACAGGCAAAGCACAGTTCGCGCCGACGCGCTAGCGCTCCGTACGCACACGGTGAGTTTGTTTTTTTTTTCATAAAAAAGGACAAATGTTTAGTGACAGTTCGAAATAAAAAATTGTGCAAAGATTAAAAAAAATATTTTGTGCCAGTCAGAATCTCGTACGATCTTTATATTATTTATATTTTTGAATTTTGAAAAATCGGTACAGGATATGGAGCAAATCAAAATTAATAAAGTTTAAAATATTTTAATAAGATGATTATTAGGTATTCCTGAGGATTGAATATTTTCAACATATTTTCATTCCGCCCGCCCTTCGCTTCACTAAGCACTTAATTCTTTCAATAAACTTGTAAAATGTTACAAAGGATTTTTTAAAAAAAAGTTCACAGACATACATTAGTATTCAAGAATACGTAGTCTTATTCTCAAAAAAAAATTGAAGAGAAACTACAGTTATATTATTTATTTATTAGCAAACGTACATTAGTCACACAGTTAAGTGCTCTTATTTAATCTACATGTACCATTAACAGTCCGTGTTGTCATTTCAAACAATGGACGTTCGCATGTCTTATCGTGGTCTCCATTGCGCTCTCATCACCTGATGATATTATCTAACGCCGGCCAAATGGAGCAATGATGTCTTTCATTGCGAACTTATCTACATTTTAATTTTATGTTAATTAATTCGTACGATTTAATATCTTTATTTAATTACAACAATTACGTGAGAATAATTCTCTATTTACAGAGAGTTTAGTTGGTTTCAGTACATGTAAAAATTAACATTTAATTTAAATGGTTAGTACTATTTAAATACGTAAAGACCAGAACAATCTTTAGAGTCGCGTTAAAACTATAACTTCCTTTTCTAGATTTTAGTTTTACTATATAAGTGATATCTTTCTTCTTCTTTTTCGTATTCTTCATTACTGAAGGTCGTGTTTGTCCTGAATAAGTGATATGCATAAACAGTTTTACACCTAAGGAAGAGTTTGTTTCTATCTCATGTTTTTCAAAGTCCGACTGACAAATCTTAAATAAATTTTATCAAAGTAAGCTTTATCTAATTACTGAAATGGAATATTATCAAGCGTGTATAGAGTTAATAAGTTATGATGTCATTTATTTAAAATGGATTTATCGATCAGATTAGGAATAAAATATTTTCGTGAAAAAAGTAACACTTATTTTAGTATACCATATAACCCAGGATATTTTACGTATGGGTTCGACTAAACAATTAAAATAGAATTTGATCCTAGAACTATATTACCAACACTCGTTGCCAACTGTGATTGTGACTATGTGTTTGTAAAAACACCAGATAACTACGTTTTCCCACCACTAGGGCAATTAGGCGGTCTGTTGAACCGCGGCTAGGTATCACTTGGGTCACGCTTTACCTATATACTTTACGTTATAATCCAATGCAATTTTCATACTCTACACAGATTATATATAAATAATTAAGTATAAAAATTATAATTTACCCACATATACATATGTATACAGTTGGAACAAAACAGTTGGATTGTAACGATAAAACGTACGTGTATTAAATATTTTTTTTAAACTTGACGGTCTGGAATTACTTAATTTTTTTATATTATAAGGTGGCAAACGAGCGAGCGGCCACCTGAAATCGCTGAAATAGCGAAGTGACTGTTGCCCATAGACATACGCAATTGCATATGCGTTGCCTATCTTTAATCGACGGAAGAGAGGATGCACAGAAAGAAAATATTTACCCTTCCCATGCATCCTCTTTTCCAGAAAGTCCACTTCCACTTCCCATCCTTTCCTTATAAGAAAAAAGGTGGGAAGGGAAAGAGGACTAAATTAGGCCTCCTGGGACACACTTATCAGACGAAACGCGGAATAGCTTCCACTCGACGCCAGTCTTCTGTGTGGTCGTGGTATTTCACCGGGCGAGCCGGGCCAATTCATGCGAAGATGTTAAAGCGGGCTCTACTACTGTTAAAGTGGTCTAATTCATATTTGTATTTTTTCAGATTTAGTTTAAGGACAATGGGGAGCACCAACAACATGTACCGTTTGACAACGTTTTGCTGTGAGTATTCTTGTAATAGACTAATATATGTGCCATTTTATAAAACTTTAATATCAAACTGAGTCAATCAGGCTTATTTCCAAACATTGCATGAAGCAAACGACTTACAAAACATTTAATCCCAAATTAGGAACGATTAAATATTACTTATAAAGTAAATACAAAAATACACATATAAAACCTCCTTTGTGCGCTTATTGTCTTGCTTTATGTAAGCGAAAAAAAAGTTTTTAGAACTTCAAAAAAATCTTTAGTTATTTAAAATAAAATGGACACTAATGACAGTCTAATTGAAAGATTAAATCGACAAGTAACTAGTTAGTTCTTTATCTTTGGCTTGCTTTTCTAAGCCAAAAAAATTCAAAGTAAAATTATTCCTATGAAGTATTGGCGCGAACTTTGACAGTTATCATTAGTGAAAAAGAGCGCCAATAATGATAGAGCGGGACTTCTTTTCATTACGCGGTAGGACGGAAGTTAAGATCCAGTTCTCAAATTAATTTCTCTTAAAATTTGTTTAGGTATTTACTACTCTTTCGGTTTTTGTATATGAGAACTTTAGGTAAATGAGAAAGGAAATAACAGCTATTTTTTAAGTACTTATCTCACATTAATGTCACATTTTGAAACCATATTTTGGCGACGACATTATTATTTTTTTTTTATTGTGCTGCAACATTTTTTTTCATATGTCGTATTCTTATCGTTTTATGTTGGCACTTAGTTTTATTTGAACGTAATAATACCTTTGCATAAGACGCCCAATAAGGAATAGAGATGAAGTTACAACTAACTTTTATAACTGTTAGATAACAATGACATTATTATAGTTAGCATATTGTTCAATACTTTGTACCTCACTCAATTAGTATAACCGACAGGTCACATTCTTTAATAACTATATTCTAAGAGAAATTATATAATTTCATTCAAATTGTTCCGTATACCTTTATATAAGCTAACGATTTGGATATAAGCCATGTCTTACGAAATTATGCTTGATTTTGAGCAAGTTGATTTTTCAATCTCTAACTATTTTCACATTGTCAAATGTTACACTTCATTATCATAAGCTCACTGTACGTTCTCACTGAAGGGCTCGGCGCCTACCCTAAGTCAGAAGTGTGTAGGTCATAGTAAACCACCCTGACCCATTGCGGGTTGGTTGACTTCACACATATCTTTGAAAAGTCTTAATAAATATGTGCAGGTTGCATCATCAGGTTTTCCTTTACCGTAATCACTTCGGATAAGTACATAATATGTAAATCAAAAACCGAAAAATACATTGGTACATGGCGGGATTCGAACCCAGGACCTGCAGACTACAAGACATCCCTGAGCCAGCGACGCTCTTGACTTGACACTAGTTAATTGTAAATTATCTTTAGGCGTATAAACAGTTTTTTTTTTTTTAAATTCATTTTTATCATTGACCAGCAATACATTTATTTTTTAATTTATGAGAATTCATAGTTAACTGTTATAATCTCAACATGAAATGCTTAAATAAACATTCATTGTGTGTATGCGTCCATTAACTTGTAAATACTGACTTCTGTTTGTAATAAGTGATTTCGAAACGCATTGTGCTCTCGCTACGACAGTACCAGCTCTAAGAAACGAACGACAAACAAAATGTCAACTTGCGCGGGAAAATCGACAAGGACGCGTTTGTTGGCGTATCCGGCGGGAAAATTGGCTGTTTCTTGTCTAACACCACAGATAATACATTCCGTATAGTGCTTATAGAAGCAAAAACAAAAAAAAATATTTCTTAAAATGGTAAGTTCAAAAGGAACATTACATTTATCTCATCTATGTATATCAGTGACCTGAAGTAGCAATTCTCAGGGATAGTAGTGGCATAGGGAGAAACCTGCTTACTGCTTTATATTATGGGGCACCCTTGGTAACCCATAAAATATAGCAGCAAGAAATTTAAACACAAAACTAGTTACTGAGATGTATTATTACATTTTAGAAATATTTTTCACAAATATTCAATGCATATATTTTTACCCTAGATAACACTCATCGTGAACCGATGCGCACCTCGGAAATTTTCGAGACACAAGATCTTAACGACTCGTATCGTTTCAGGCCTATTGCACAAGTAGGGCGTCAATGAATGGCGCTTCATTACACATTACAACAACAACTAAAACTACGAATCATTATAAAAGCAAATTTAGCATGTAAAGCCTCTAGACGTGGCGTAGAGTGATCATTGCAAATTGAAAATCTAAGTACACACTCAAGTTTAAGCAATATATTATTATATCTCTTAACGACGCTAAGCGTATTCTAGCACTTTCTGTACTCACTAAGATACTTTAGGCTGTCCCATCAAATAAGTTATATTGAATATAGGAATTAAAAGTGTGTGTGTGTAAAAATAGTATCACATGACAAGTATTAACAACCATTCGATTAAAAAAACATCAAAATCGGTCTACCAAAGGGAGCTACGAGCTAACATAAAACATACGAGCTAACAACAAACTTAACGTCTTTTTGGAGGTCGGATAAAAAATATCTTGACTTCAGGGTTAATCGAGACGGCCACTCACGGACACGTTGTGTAACAAACCCAGATAAATTTTACATCTTAATCGTATTCAAGTAAATGAGAGAAGTTTCTATTGTTACTTCGTTGATTCACTTTACGAAATCAACATTAACAAAAACGTCGGCAAGACAAGTTCATTTAACACTTACGCTTTGTTTTTTTCCGCAGTTTGTGAAACGCGGTTTATTCAATTTGTTATTCTGTAATCCTTGTCCATACATTACATCTATAAGCACTTTTATTTATATTTTAGCAGTAGTACATTCACAAAAACATAAGACCTGCGTACAATGACGTCATTGAAACAAGAAAAATATACGAAAAGTGTTCACACCTTGGTACTGATTGTTTGTCAATTGCTTAGCTCTACTTTTTCCTTTACATAACATAAAATACGTAACATTATGAATATATTCTATCGCCCCTTAATTACACCTTAAAATTAATGTAGAGCAGTCTGTCGGTTATCGCAGCTTCCTCGTCTGTTTGGTCCGATTCGTGCGCGGCGGTCACGTGCGCAACAAAGTGCAAACCGAGTGCAGGTCAGGGCATACCTATAGGACACTTCCCAGTTACATTGTTCTATCTAACGATGCACGATCAATGCAAACTGAAGCTCTATGGTGTAGCAATGTACAAGAAAGGAAGCTAAAAAAAACGTAATAAAATACGCTTACCTAAAACACTTGCCAAAGATTTTTCTATATAGAAAGTTTAAATTTTAAAATGTACTAGTTGGGTTCTTTGCGATATGTCAAAGTTAAGAAAAGAAAGACTGAGTAAATTTTTACAACTTTAGTTAGCTACGTATTGGTTATTACTTTTATGTTAATGAACTCTTGATTTAATAAGTCTTGTTCCATTACGTTTTTTGCACTCAAGTATAAAATCTAGACTTTCACTAGATAAGAATAACAAAATAAATCTAATTCCATTTAGCATCATTAGTCTGCGTAAGGATTTCAACATGATCGACTCGTGAGTATACAATAAAAATAAATAATTGCGGAAATAACAAACAGCATAAAATTTACACGTACTATTCACCTAATATCTAAGTACGTACTAAGTACCGAACTTATTTTAGTACATACTAAAAACCTGTTAAAATATCATTGAGTTCTTAACTTGGTTAACTTAAAACTGAACTTTATTCCCACAGCCCTTAAGCTATCTAAACCTAGGTACACCAAGCATGCCTAATGAAAAATGTTATGTTATAAACAAAAAACTCCTTATTATATCCATTGCGTATTAGTAATTGGATGGAATTGCAGCGCAATCTTAAAAGCAAAGAAGGAAATACTTATTGTGACGAAATATATTTAAAAGCAAGCAGAGGCCGCATGGTATCGCACAATTAATATCCACGAGCTTCATCCCAATGAGTAAAATTACGTCCATTCAAGCTATTTACCCATTAACAGTATTGCAAAAACTCAACATGGGATGCGACCGTCTCACGCGATCTATTAGCAAATAGGGTTGGTAAAAAGAAAATTTAAACCCGATTCAAACTAAACTTTCAAGTTCTAAAACTTTTCAAGATTTGAATCGGGTTTAAATTCTTCATATTTTCAGCCATCTTTTACTAGTACGTCATTAATTACAATCTAACATGGCGGGAAGTTTGTGCGAAACACAAAATGATGAATTCATCACAAATACCTATTGTTTAATTCTTTTAGTGGCAACCATATGATAAACCCGTGTAATCTCTAACACGTTTTGTGGTTCTCAGCTCAGCATTATGCCTTGAGGATGGTATTAGATAAATACTAAGGTTCCTAAGTACACGAGTAATATAGATATTACGCGAACCATAACCACTTTAAATAACGATAATAATGACTGACAATTTCACAGTTGAATAACGAACAAGCTGTTGGATACCAGTACCATTGCAATGTATTTAAAAAGCAATTGCAAATGTGTGTATAAAGTGTGTACCATCGCGTAAAAAACGTTAAATATGCAATGCTGTGTTCTTTTGTTTCAGTTCTACTGGCAGTAACCTTCGCCCAAAACGGTTACGAGTACAATAAACCAGGCACACCCTTTAATCAAGGAACTCAACCTAATGGTCCAGGAGTCCCTGGACAAACCGGATCTTCAGGCAACGGATATCCGTCGTCGCCCACATCACCATCTTACCCCAATCAACAAAGCGATGCTTATCCAAGTGGTGGTGTAGGATCGACACCTGGATATCCATCTGGACCTTCAAACTACCCTTCTGCTGGTGGAAACTACCAAGGAAATAACCAACCTCAAGCTGGATATCCCGGATCAGCCCCGTCTTACCCGAATCAAGGAACCACCGGTCCCAGTACAAACTATCCCGGGCAAACAGGGTCAAACTACCCAGGACAATCACAAAACTTTCCTAACCAAAATGGACAAACACCTGGCCGGCCCGGAATTTTCAATGCAAGTCCCGTTAATCCCGGTGCTCCAGGTTTAATTCCTAGCTCATCTGGATTTGGCCCGACCACTCCGGGATTTAGCCCAGGATCACCTGGATTCGTCCCTGGATCGCCTGGTTTTACACCTGGGTCACCTGGGTTTGGTCCGGGGTCACCTGGATTTGGTCCTGGCAGACCAAACTTTAGCGGAGATGACACAGGAGCGTACGAAGGTGGTGACTACTCTGCCATACCGGGAGAGCCAGATAAAGACTACCCTATACTCTCCGTCATACCTGAAACTAGCTTTAGCTGTGGTGCACAACCTTATCCTGGGTACTATGCTGATGTTGAGACTCGCTGTCAAGTTTTCCATGTTTGTGCCAACAATATCACTTATGACTTTCTATGTCCCAACGGTACGATTTTCTCTCAAGAAGTATTTGTTTGCGTCTGGTGGAATCAGTTCGATTGCAACTCTGCACCCAGCTTCTATGAACTAAATGCCAATCTATATGATTATTCCATAAAAGGACCCGGATTATTGCCAGGTGTAACAGATTTTAGCCAACAGGGACAATCTTTTCCTGGAAATGTTGGACCTCAGGGCCCGTCAAACTACCCAAATATCCCAGGTACATCACCTGGCGTTCAAGGAACGGGAGGATCTTCAGCCTATCCTGGATCGACTGGTTCTCAAGGATCATCTTATCCAATTGGACCACAAGGACCATCCCAAAATTATCCCTCAGGACAAGGTCCTCAGGGTCCATTAGGCCCACAAGGACCTTCATTCCCTAATCAACAAGGCCCATCGTCACCATACCCTGGACAAGTCACATCGTATCCTGGCCAACAAGGTTCATCTTCCTACCCGGGTCAGCAAGGTCCTTCATCCACATATCCTGGCCAACAAAGCCCTTCTTCAACTTACCCAGGACAACAAGGTCCGTCTTCTTCTTACCCAGGGCAACAGGGAGTCACATCTTCTTACCCTGGGCAACAAGGAGGTACATCTTATCCTGGTAGCTCTGGGTACCCAACGTCAACGTCCTCACAGAGTCAAGGTCAACAAGGATCAAACTACCCACAATCTCAAGGCCAATCGAATTACCCTGGCAGCAGTCAAGGATACCCATCGGGCAAACCTAGTGGACCCAGTTTCCCAGCAGGTACAAGGCCCCAGGGTGACAGGTATCCATCACAACAACCTAACAGAGAATACCTGCCGCCTAGAAATCAATAACACGCCCGTACCAACGACCATAGCATTCTTAAATGTTTTATCTCATAGATAATATTGTAAGTACAAAAAGTATTATGTATAATTTAATAGCTTTTACATCTTAAAGTTGTATGCCAGTATGATTACGTTGTCAAATGAGTTAGTTGGTGCTACAAAAGAACTAGATATGTAAATTAGATAATTATTTGGCTAATAAGTTTTGTTACAAGTAAGAAAAATCACTAGATGTAATTATTATAACGAAAATTTTAAATTCGATTCTGATTGAACAAAAGTTACCAAAACTAGTTCATAATTAAAAAATGAAAAATATGTTTTAATATATTAGTTTTTATACATTTTTGTAAATAAATAATAAAATAATTTTGCAATAATTATTTTCTTTTATTTAAAAAATATAAAATAAATAACCATTCGCGCTCTGCTAAGCAGCATTATAAATCCTAACCTCTCGAAATGTCACAAATATACCGCATCGTCTGGAATGAGGACGCTATTTCCCGAAGACCAATCGAAGACCCTTCGAATTTATCCCCGTTACCATAAAAAACACTTAGTTTATGGAAGAAGGAGGTAAGCACACTACGGGATTTTTTTTAAATATAGTTAGTATACGTTTATTAGTTTTCCAAACAGTGGAGTGATAGTAAATATATTTAAAGTTTCGAAATTGTGTAACATTAATTCTAATACATTACTAACGCAAATTTAACTTAACCCTTTCGTTATTCACTTACTTCAAATACCACTAATCTTACAAAATTTAAGTACGTAGTAGCTTTCAGCTATTTATTTACTCCAGCTGTAGCACGGTAGATTTTAAATAGTAAATCATCTTGTGCAGGTACATATAAATTGCATTTACAAATTAAATGTGCAATTGTTACGTGGTATTTTGACCATAAAGAAAAATGTCACTGTTTTTTTATAGATGGTTAATTGATATTAATCCTTTATTTTATTAATAATTTTTTAGCCTCCACTAAAATCAAAAGTGTATATCATTTATAGAATATAGTATTAAAAGCATTAATTATAAAATTAATACTAATTACGTTATTATTAAACGGTAGACATTGGAAAAGATTTATCTCCACGAGTGGCTATAGGTAGACGATGATAATTAAAATGCTAAAAACACAAATAAGTGCATACTCAAGTAAAACGAACCATAAAATAACTTCGACTTTGGCATCGTGGACCAAGTTAAATGTACATTAATTAGTAACTTAAATAGCAGTTGCATGCATGTGTTCATGCAGTCACGCTAGGGGAACATCGGACTTACAGCTTTTCGAAACTTTTTTTTGCCTAATGCCTTTCAAAAACGCAATTTGATCCTTTCTCTACCCAAACACAGATATACTTTTGAACAAAATAGTAGGTTAATAAATAAAGTGGCAAGCTTCAAGAATATCATTTTTTACATCTACTCTAGTCAGCAGTCAGTGTTGTCATGTCTATTTTATATGCTCTTTGATAATGTTGTTTGTGTCATTTGTCAAGTTGTCGTGCGTGGTTGTTTTGCATTTTTTATGCAAAACTTAATAGTTTTTCAATGGTTCCTACTCGATAACTTAAAAGTTATAAAAAATCTATAACTGTGTTACTTATTCAGTGGCAAACATTAAAAAGTGATTCAATGAAGGCTCTTTGAAGTGGCGGGTGACATAATTGTCTCCGTAGTATTGCGTATCATGTAACCTTAGTGGTTTATTTTGTGGCTTGCTGTATCTATTTTCGACTCAAGAAACTTCCTGAACGTATGCATTTGTATTTTCCATCATATTGTAGATTTTAAGCGTATCTTTTTAACTAATGTTATTGTTTTCTAACTAGTTTTGTGAGAAGTTGTACTTCGAATGTCAAGGTTCAATATTAATGTATATAACATATGCACTTTTGGTTCTGTAAGTGCTTGAATAATATCTCACTTTTCAATAACCCTAAAGCTATCCTCTTTAATCTGAACTATACGATAATTTGATAAGGTAAAAGTACTGGTTTGATATTGCACAATTGATATGAATGCAGTTTCACCAACATCAAGGCATTGTCTGACTTTTCACACGTATATCAGATTTTCCAAGACTATTAATTTGCAATAAAGTGATTCCTATGTACCATGTCAATAGTGAAAGTCCATATATATGGGGATGGTCAGGAATTTTAACTAATTGCACACATATTTGCTGATTTTCTTTAAAATTGCTTAGATTTATTATTGAAACTTTTTCATAAGACATCAAAATTTAATAATTACTATACATTCAATGAGAACACCTTTCCTGAAAAACATACTATTGTATATGTTTTGTTATACATGTATCTTATAGCAGGAAATTTAATTAATATATCCTTTTGGAACTGGTTTTGTTAGTAATAAAAATATTAATATTCTCATAATTTATATGATATTTAAATTTATCTTATTTGAAAGTTGATAAACTTACTAAAGCTAGTTTACATAATGTTTGAAAGTCTCAGGAAAAAATTATGTATTAATATTAAATTACATCAACATTTATTTTCTGTTTCCACTACCTAAATACACATACAAAATATATTATCTTTTTTACAATGAAAAGGGGAGACACATAACACTCTGATGGTAGTGGTAGGCTGCGGCCAAAAAATATCACAGTCACTAGTACTTTCATTGCTATAAACAGTGAAAAACTAGAAAAAAATTATGCTTTGTAGCCTTCACCAATATAAGAGTGGAATATTAATTATGTTTGTGATCATTACAGATGGTAAAATGATCTAAGGTCAAGATGAGCTGGTTACGGACGACGTCACTGTCATTTGCACGGCAGCTGTCCAGGACATTGGACCCTCGGCATGACTATGAGCCAAATGCATGCTATAACTCCTTCTGCAAGCATTGGCAGCAAGCTCATGATATCATACTTAAGTCTCAGGTAAAAAAAAGAACTGCCATATTCAGATTTATCTTTATTATTTACATGACTGATGAGAGGCCAGTTTTTTCGCCCTGTGTCTTTGTTTTTATGTATGTGATTTCTTGTAGTTTAAACAATTTGTGTTATGATTGGATTCTTGTTATTCTACTTATTATATAATAGGCATACAATCAGACAGGATTTTCTTTTTTGTATTATTTAATTACTAGATCTTACTATATAATATAAATATGAATGTTTAGATGGTTGAATGGATGGATGTTTGGATTTTTATTTGAAGGTATATCTGGAATGGCTGCAGTGATCTCGCTGAAATTTGGCATGCATGTAGAACATAATTTTGAATAACATATAGGCAACTTATTAAATTTATTTTTAATTCTGCACTGACGGAGTTGTCGGCGACAGATAGTTATGTCTAAAACTGTAAACATTGTATGACTTTCTTTGTGTGCCCTGATTAATTAATTGTAACCCTCCAGCCGCAACATCTTCACGACGATGTGTTGGGAGTGGTGAACCATCTGGAACAGCTGACAACACTATTGGTGCTGGAGGCGAGAGCACGTCAGTTCTCACCCAACACACACCCCGCAGCCTGTCTCGAGTACCTACTTAGTGAGAACTTGCTCGATAAATTATATGAATGGGCAATATGTACTGGCAAGTAAGTGCACATATAATATTTTAAATTTAAAAAGTAAGTGAGTATTCCTACACCAATCGTATGATCCTTTTAGTTTAGCCATGCTAGTGGAAATGGGACATAAAACTTATATACTTAGAAAGTTGTTATCCGCTTAGTGGAAAAAGGGGCTATGAATACTTTGTCATTGTCTTAATAAATTCTTGATAAACTAAACATTAAGTAGATTCTAGAATAGTAGACTTTTCATTTGTGAGGTTTTTAGTATTACAAAGAATTAAGCCACTTTTCCTTACATCTTGGGAAATTTTATTTAGTATATATTATTTGGTATATTGCAAATGTTAGTTTAGTGTTTATATCATTTGTTAGTATGTACAGATCTTATTGACCTTTATACAAAGGTCAGTCTAGTGTTGTAGAACGAATACTAAAGTTTCATCTTATAGTCAAGGATATTGTCTTTGAATAGTGTAATACTGTACTTCCGCATCTAGCTGTCGCCATAAATCGGTCTGTCGGTTATAAATCATCTAGCTGTCGCAAGCGTCTCCATTCGCGCTAAATTAAGAAAAAAGCCTATGTCTCCAGACTATTTTCTACATGTATGCTAAATTTCATCAACATCGGTTAAGCAGTTCCGGAGATACCTCCTAACAAACATCCATCTATCCATTTTTATGTTTTTACATTTAAGCTACCACTTTAAATTCTAATATAATAACGTATTTACTATTAAATAACTAGTTTTAGTTAATGCCTAAATTCGACAAGCTATCTTTTTTCTGTTTCGATTACGTATATCCTTGAAACGGTGAATACTAAGGAGATGACATCATGGAAAGCGGCATTTAATATAACCTATAAAAAGTTAATCATTACTTTATCAATAATAATAAAAAAATTGGGATTGTAGTAGTCCACTTGGTGATTTAAATTATAGCTATTATTTTTGTTTTAACGAAATTAATAAAATCATTTAATGAGTCAAGATTTTACAATGCGATGTAAAGCAATAAACAATCTTACGATAGCATTAACGTATTATTAGCTGTCGACCGCGACGCCGTCCGCTCTGAATTAAAAAAAAAACTTAGTAGCCTATGTGTTCTTCCAGACTATATTCTTTATGTATGCCAAATTGAAAATGCCAATATGGAGATCCGTGCAGCCGTTCAACATCCATCCATCCATCTAAATATTCGCATTTATATTAGTAGCAAATATTAAATTTACGATACGATTTTTTTCACTATTTTAGAAACTAAAACGCACAAACTAGGTCGGCAAACAACCATGCAGTTTCCGTTTCCTGCGTGATTCATACAATCGATACCATTGGAAAAGTGCTAAATATATAATTAGAAGTGATGATAACACGATAATTTATATAACTACAGTATGGTTAATTAGTACATTTTGTAAAGTTTAGAAAACATTGTCTTTGTAATTAAAAACATGTTTATTTAAATCGTCGTTTCTATAATGTCTCAAGCTAATTTTTACAAAAAGAAATATATATATATTATAAATGCCAAAATTTTAATGGATGAATACTTGTTGAAAAGTTATATCAAGAACGGCTGCATAGATCTGGATTAAGTCGTAGATGTAGAGCATAGTCTGAAAGGACACAGGCTACTTATTATGTTTTATTTTTAATTCCGCGCGAACTTGCAGGCGAGTTAGAAAATATGTCT